AATCGATGACTACAGATTGTAATATCTAAATGGAGAAAATACTCAAACCCATCGGGGGGTGTCCAAAATTACCAACAGGAATGTTTTAAAAAAATATATTATTTTTGTTAAATACGGGTGAACATACTAACAAGTAACAACCATGGTTAATGTTCAGAAATTCTAAAAGAAAGTTAAATGTTGATATTTGTGAACGGAGTGGGTATCTAGGCGCCCCTACGAGCGTACAGGTCTCCTCAGGTCTCCACAGTTCTGATGGGGTTTAAAACCTGAGTAATAATATTAGTGCAATAGAGAGAACCAACGATAGTGAACCAATCTTTGAATACATCTTTCAGGGCTATCAGCACAAACAGGGAGGCTATATAGTATAGAGACTACTTTCTTACACTCTGTGAAATTAAGAAATTACTAGCTATGCAAATTATATTTTTCCTGCAAACAGAAGACGAAATTTAACTTTTATATCGTCCATACTTCAAATAGAAATACAACACTAGTTTCACCAGTAATTATCAGATAAAGGTTTACCTTCGTACAACAGCCATCTAACTTTTTACATGAGGGATTACTTAAAATTACGTTTTTAGCCTGGGTGACCCCTATATTATCAACACATTATGATAAACATATTATGAACATATTTAGCCTGGGTGACCCTTATAGTATCAGCATATCATTATAAACATATTATGATTATATTTAGCCTGGGTGACCCCTATATTATCAACAAATTATGATAATCATATTATGACCATATTTAGCCTGGGTGATCCCTATATTATCAACATATTATTATAAACATATTATAAACATATTTAGCCAGGGTGACCCCTATATTATCAACATATTATGATAATCATATTTTGAACATATTTAGCCTGGGTGACCCCTATATTATTAACATATTATTATAAACATATTATGAACATATTTAGGGGGTATATTATCAGAATATTATCATAAACATATTATAAACATATTATAAACATATTTAGCCTGGGTGACCCCTATATTATCAACATATTATCATAAACATATTATGAATATATTTAGCCTGGGTGATCCCTATATTATCAACATATTATTATAATCATATTATAAACATATTTAGCCAGGGTGACCCCTATATTATCAACAAATTATTATAAACATATTATGAACATATTTAGCCAGGGTGACCCCTATATTATCAACAAATTATTATAAACATATTATGAACATATTTAGCCAGGGTGACCCCTATATTATCAACAAATTATTATAAACATATTATGAACATATTTAGCCTGGGTGACCCATATATTATCTACATATTATTATAAACATATTATGAACATATTTCTATGGGTGACTCCTAAATGATCACAATATTATTATAAACGTATTATAACATATTAAGCCTGGGTGACTCCTATATGATAAACAAGAATGAGCATATATAGGCTCATGCTCAAGTGATATTCAGTGTATGTGCATCGAACCCATTTTAGCCTTGTGATTTATTTGATATTTTGTACATTTGTTTTGGTATTCGTATAGTTTTGTATTTTTTCACTTTGTAAGATCAAACAATTGACTTGACTTTAAAAACTTGATCTTCGAATGATTTTTAATATTATTTAAGTGAAAGAACTTCAATTCCTTATTAGTATAAAACTCCAACATACTACCGGCCAAAGGTAAGTTTCACATTCTAATTATTTTTGTTCATATTTTTCAGACTACTTAAAATATCTAGAAAATGAGTATCTTATAAACAGATCTATTTTCAAAAAAAATTTTAAAATGGGGGAGAAATTTATTTCCTTCATCAAAAGTATGTTTTCCGTTGGAGACCAACTTCGGTATTCGTTGGATTTCCTGCTCCTCCTCTACTGCTTACAACCTGCGACTGGTTTTGGTAATAAAAGTTTAAATGATAATAAAATATTAGGAAACTATTTAAAAAATATATCCAAGATAAGATAAACTAAAAATTGCTGAAATATTTTATTGGTTCTTTTTATTAGCTTTCATAAAAAAAAAACAGAAAAGAATGTGTAAAAAAATGTTTAAACGTCTTAGATTGTTAAAGTTCCCCCCCCTTGGAACATTCCTGTGTACGCCCTTGCTTTAGATTTTGGAGCATCAAGTTCTAAGGGCCTGTTTCCTTCAATATTTAACCTGGGAACTCATGCTGAGGTCAGAGCCAACACTAGCTGTGGGTCAGGCAGACAGGAACAGTACTGTACACTAGGGGATAGTAAGGATGCAAGGTATGTACGTGAAACATGGTGTCTCACCAAACATGACAGTAGCAAGATGCTCTGTAGGTCGTCTTTAATCTTTGAAAAACTGTGCTAAATATATTTGTAAACCTAGATTTAGAAGAAACATTCTAGTGTTGGTAATTTCCAAAAACTTATAAACTTTGAATTTCCAAAATGTTGTCTGCATTTTTTATGCTTTAATTTTACTGGAGATATAAAGAATTTTGTAAAGATTTTGACAGTTTTGGTTTTATTTAAAGGAAGTGTTTGCGAAAAATAATTCTATCTGCTGCGCCTATATAAGGAGAAAATTGTTAAGAACGACTTATTTAATTTCAAACAAATAACAAATATTATGAAATATTAACTCTATACGAATGCGTCGAAAAATAATCGATGACTACAGATTGTAATATCTGAATGATTTGTTTAAAATTAAATTATTTTTTTATACGATCCGAGTCGCACTTTGCAACTTTCTGAATTATTATTACGCTACGTTCTTCAGTATAAGTCGTTTTTAACAATTTTCTCGTTATAGACGCAATAGATAGAAGTAAGCTTAGTTGCGATCAAAAGCGATTATTTTTCGCCGTAATCGTACACCCCCTTTAAATTTTCGCGAACACTGCCTTTAATAAAATTGAATCCTGAACTAAATTCTTAATATCTCCGGTATTATTGACAGCACAAAAAAGGCGGACCACATTTTGGTGGAAAAGTCAGGACTAGGAAGATTTTGTGGTATTTTAACAGCATGGAAACGAGTCTTTAAAATGTCGTTATGTTCCATCTTGACGAAGGAAAGACAAACAAAATAATTTTTTACTGATTTTGAATAAATCATCAAATTTATGAATTTTAAGCTCCGGCCTTTTGACATACAGTGAGAACTTTATCACACTGGATAAAGAAAGACGACTTTTAGACTTCAGTTATGCGCAAAACTCCTCTGGAATTTTGTTTCAGGGTTATTGTGAACGAGTTTTATCCAAATCTTTAAAAGACTACATCTCGTGTCTTATCTGTTAATTTAATTAATCTATGAGTTGACTTAATATCTTGTAGCGACTAAATGTCGTCTTCCAAAGAGAAAACATAAAATGCGGGGAAAATTTAACACGAAAATTCTTTAATAAATAAATATCGAAGGTGTGGTATTTGTGATGAGAAGGATCCAGATCGAGCTCACCCTGCACACTTTATACTAGATGGAACTGAGAGGTAGTTTACTTTGTATTATTAAACTTTTTTTGCTAAAAAGAATTAGATATTAAAAGGTTAAATTTTGTTTTTTGTAATAAAAATTTGTTCCTTTTCGATTTTATTTTGTTCGTTTTCTAACTGAAGGATTGTTTAATTAAATCGTTTGTTCAGTAATAAAAACGTAAGTTTATTTAAAAGTTCGTTGAAAAATCGTTCATTTTGTTTTTCTTTGCTTAACTAGATATCAATTTACTTCTCAAGATGCTTTTTGACATTATAATAGTAAACTAACTTGAACTTTTTAGATGGTGGCAATCCCCCTCTCTTGCATTTGGGCCATTTACAAATATAATTAATGAAACGATAATAATAAAGGGCCAGCATATCATACGGTTACCCTTACTATAAATCTCAAGCAAATATATCAGGTATATCTGTATATAAAGTAGTAATCTCTGTTTGACTTTTGTATGTCCGATCATAACTCGGAACCCCTTGACCGATTTTTCTGAAATTTGGATTTGGGAACTCGAGTGTAAAACCACGGGAATGCTCGCTTAGTTGGAAAATTAAGCTGAGTGTGTAACAATTTAGAGAAATATTATTTTCTAGTCAAAGCTGGGGTCCCTAAGCTAGTTTATTATAACATTCCGTTTGATAAACGGAGAAAAAAATGATCTTGAAGAAATTTAGTGTTCAGAGAAAAAGTTGTGAAGTGAAATTTGATATTTATAAAATCATTAAATAGGAAATTCTTAAAAAAAAATGTGTTTTAAAGGTTTTTAATTTCGTAAAAAAATTTAAATTCTTGAAAATCCGCGAAATTTTTTTAAAATCCACAAAAATTTTTTCTTCTGTGTTTTAAAATGTAAACAAAAAGAACATGTTCACAATTTAAATAGAAGATGGGCGCGAAACGCCCTAAAAGCATAGTATTTATAAATAAATATTATACTGTTAATGTTTTCAGGTTGACTACCTTATCCTAACTGCTGGACAATCTCCACGGCCTGCAAACTGGGTACTAGAAAGGAAAAGCTTTACTTCTTATTTTTGCAGTAAACGTTTTTTAAATAACAATCTCCGACAAAAAAAACTTTCATGATTATCTGTAAACCTGAATTACGCTGTACATTTTTTCATGATTTATCTTAACTGTTAATAACTATGTAACATGATTAGCTTAATTACGTTGTAAAAAATGACGTAAAACTTTTAATTACGTCAGATTAAGGCATTATTAGACCATTATCTATCTCCTGATGGACATGAGTAAGAAACTACACATATAGATTGTTTGAGACAGTAGAAAACAGCAAGAAAGCGTATAAGATGAGGGAAACAAGAAACATCAACACAAATAGTTTTGAGACGGTAGAAAACATCAAGAGAGTGTATAAGATGTGGGAAACAGGAAATATTTACAAGGAAACAGTTTCCTGTGATGATTCAGGAAAAGAAGAACAGATATCAAATGATTGCGAACATGAATGGTATTGCAGGAATGGTATGAGAATTTAAAGAAAAATTTCCTAGAATGGAAAAAGGATAATCCAAACGGGATAACAAGAAACAGGAACAGGAAACCAGTTGTTGCATTCGATACAGTTTTGACAGAGAAGAAGATGAAGAAGAGAGAGCAAGGATTGAAGGACAAAAGGACCGAGTATTTCTAGATTGGTTTCCTCGAGTACAGCCCATGCAACAAAACCAAAGCTCTAGATGAGAGAGCAGAAGATCGGGTTTAAATAGATAAGCTGTTGAATAATGAAGATAAAGCTAAGATTGAAGCCTCACTGAGTAATGAAGAGTACATTAAACACAGTACTTCAAACAGTTTGAACAATGCAGTAAATTTTAGCATTGAAAACGTGTGCAATTAGTGCCAAATTCCTGTACACAATAGGAGGAGAATCATATACCAGAAGTCTGAGAAAGAAAACTGGAAGACAAGAGCTTTGGAAAACCCATGCTATCAGAAGAGCAAGAAATAGTTCTTCAAGAAAATACTCGTAGTTTAGCAGGCAGTATACAAGAAGAATCACAAAGATAAAAAATTGTTTTCTCGAAAAGTTTGCTTTTATAACATTCATGCATAATTTTGCATATTTTCTCTCTTTTCTTTTGGAAACCTGTATTTTCAAAAAAAATTTATTTAAACAAATTTAAACTACACCATTTATATATGTATTTATATCTTTGTGTGTGAATAAATCTTTATAATAATAATAATAATATTTATACTTTGATCAAAGAAACGAACAAAATCAAATTTTCTAAAGGAAAAATAAAAACGTTTTATTAATCTCCCAGAGTAAAAATATTTTATAACGAAATATAAGCGAAGTTGTCTTGCACAGAAATTAGAAACAGGGTTTACATCTCAGAATATTGGGGAGCCTCTTTAAACTTCAAATGATTAAACACAAACATCATAAAAGACAGGAACATTGAACAGTTATATGAATTATTTGAAAGATTAATGATAGTGGAATGATCTGCAGATTCCAGAGCCATGCAATTTCAAAAATTCAAGAAAACTTGACTTAGGTTTAAACTGGCGCTGGGCCTTATTTATGGCTTGAGCTTTCTGATTCAAGCTGTATCTTATTTTCCACAGAGTTGTGTTAAAAAACAGTTTATTATTCTAATTGGTGGATTTTCCTGGTAGGAATTGGCGCATTCTGAGTTTTTTATAAGAACAAGACTCAACAGTGAGTCTTATTCTCCACTATAACCATCCAAGGTCGGTTTTATTTTCATTAGGCCTACCTTCTATGTCCAGTCTAAGATCTCACAGCTGTCAATCACATGACACAAGCTGTCGTCAGAGTCAAGTCTAAGAATAGGTCTTAAAGCTGGGTTTTTGTAATCCAACAAATTTGAGTTTATAACTCAAAAACAAATGAGAAAACTGATAATTCATCCCCAATCATGTCTGTCACACAATATAAACTGTAATTGTAGTAAAGTAAGCTGAGATATAGATCTCTGGATGGAGTGAACTGGGAAGCGTGGCAGTACCATGCAATGTCTGACCAGGACTGCTGGCTCGACTATGGTATAGAGCCAAGGAAAGGAAAACCGGTTTATAAGGTAAATTGCTAAAAAATTCTTCTGAAGTTCTCATGGTTGCCAACCCTGCTTTGCCTTACCTTTCAGGTGTTTTCTGCCTTGCTGGGTATGTTTTTTAACATGGTTGCAACCTGGTGTTTTTTATCCTAAAGATTCAAGTGTTTTTCTTTATAACAAAAATATCTTTGTAAGGTATCAAAGAGAGAGCTCGAAGATGATAAATGGGTTTTGTCTTTGATTGTATATAGTTGAATTATATGTAGAAGTAGTTGAAACATGTCTCCTCAACTTGAACCAGTTCACGAGAGATGTGGCTCAAATTTGTCAAAGCAGTTCAGTTACTTCTTTCTTTATGTCTTAAAGGCAGGGGCGGATACAGGGGGGGGGCGGTAAGACCTTCGCACCCCCCTGAGATTTAAGAATAGCTTTTCAATAGCACTTAAGGGAAAGATAACCTAGTGCAAAGAAGGGAAAATATCTATCTTAAAGAAGATTTTCGTCTGCGGCACGTCTTTTTGTTCCAAAATCTGGATTTTTTTGTTCCGAAATAAATCTAGCACGCCCATCACTTATATCCAGTATCCGCTCCTGGCTAGAGTAGTATTTTTTTCAGAAACTGGTGTTTTAAAGTTTCCAAGCGCACTGCTTATTATACTCAAGTTCTTAATCTTATTTTTTATTTAATTATTTTTTTTGTTGATGTAAATGTTTTTTTGTTATTTTGTAGTAGAATTGTTGTTATAGTGTAAGTTGTTTGGTTGTTTTTATGTTATTGTTGTTATATTTTTGCTGTTTTCTCTGTCTTTTGTTATTGCTATCGCTTTTGTCAGTGCTATATTCTTGTTGTAGGCTGATGATGAAGTTATCTGTACCAGTTACTATTCAAGTCTCAAACCTATTGGTAAGACTTTAATCCGGATAAAGTGAACTTTTAAAAAATTTGAATCATTTCCCCCCCCCCCCCCCCCCCCCCCATTATAGCAAGAAAAACTTGTATCAATGGGGGAGGGGAGGGTGGACGGGAATTAGAAAAGCACTAACAATGCCTCCCCAACTCAACTCGGTTTATAGGGCCTGCTCAGATATTGTTAAAGAAATATAATTGTAAGTGTAAATTTTTTTTTATTATGATTTAAACTGTGAAATTGAAGAAGTAAAGTTCGCGACAAAAAGAAAACCGTAATTAAAAACTCACAGTTTTACCTCACTATTATAATTTCTACTTGTTTTCTTGCAACGAACGTTTTTATTTTTAATCATTTTCAAAAAAAATCTTTAAGATTGTAATTTGCAAAACTTTGATTTCACTGTAATTTTTTTTCATCAAATAAATTGTTTCAGGAGAAAATTTTTAGAAAAATTATTTAGCAAAATTTTTGTTTTTCAGAAAATGGCGAAATTTCTATTTCTCTTGTCAATGGAAGACCAGGTGCTAAGGTAAAAAATTAATTTATGAAAAAAATTTAAAAACATAAAATGTATTTTTTTATATTTCTCACCATCATTTTTTATATAGGGTCCATCAAAAACCTTGCTGGATTTCACTAAAGCACGATATATTCGGCTGAGATTCCAGAAACTTCACATTCTCGCGATTGATAAAACTATTCTAGGTATGTTTTCAATTTGGAGATTTGGCATTTTTACTATCATTAGAAAGAGCTTACAAGAGTTTCACATAAAGTCAAAAATATTTAGTTGAATTCTTTTAAATACAGCATACCACCGGCTCAAATCCTGAACCACCGATTCAAATTCTCATGTTTTATCTTATAACTTTGAACCGTGGGGATTTAATATTTGAACCGGCGGTAGATAGTTCAGTGACCTAGCTCAATTTTGTTAAATTCTGGCATTTATGTTGACGCTGTCAACCAAATTACCAAAGGTTTGATCACTGGTTGCAAAATGGAAATTTTCAACAACAAAAAAATTATCATCCATCAAAATTACTTTGATTTCATAAAGGTTGTAAGAGTACCTTCCTATAATTTTTCAACACTGGGCTTTTAAGGCGCCCATCTTATATTTCAGTAATGAACATTTTCTTTTTGTATACATTGTAAAACAAAAATAAAAAAAAGTTGCGGATTTTGTAAAAAAATTTTGTGGAATTTTCAAATTTTATGAAAATTGAATTTTGGAGACAAATTTTGAAATTTTGATCATTTATAAACCTTCCCTAGGGACATGTGAAGTCCCACACACAAAATGTGAGTCCAATTGGTTCAGCCGTGTTGACGCTTATTGGATAAAAACGGACAGACAGACAAACAAAATAAGCAAAGTATATTTTTTGTGCTGCTTGAGGACGTAACTTTGCTTGGAAATGAAACTTTTGAAATAAAAGTCAATCCACTCAATTTAAAACTTATAACCAAGCAAAAACATTCGTGTGGTTCTAACGGGTTCTCCAATCAAAATTTAAAACAAATTGGTTAAAGGGGTTGGTGAGTAATAAATAGACACAAAAACAAACAAACACCCAAACTGAGAATACTACTTTGCATATTTAGCATACTTTATAATTTTTGCATATTTTAATATTTTTAGGAGACATTGCACATCCAGAGTATGCTGATATTGCCAGACGATATTTCTACTCAATCAAGGATGTATCTATAGGTTAGTGCCATTTAAAGAAACAAAGCTTTCAGGGCACTCAGCACACCCCTTATCTATCAACAATCTTAGCTTTGAATTGTTGCTCTTCAAGTTGCCATTTACTCATTGCATATTGCTAAAAACAATTTTTGCGGAATTTGTTATTTAAAGTGGTGCAATTCATGTTTCCAGCATGAAAAGTGAAAAATTAAATCAATTCCCTTCACTTATTCAGAGGTATTAATTGGATGATTTGGATCTATCACTTAATAAGGTCCCTGAACTAGATTTATAGTTATAGAGACCTGGCTAAAATTTATTAAATTCAACACATGATTGGCATGTATTGTAGGTGGACAGTGTCCCTGTCATGGGCATGCATCAGAGTGCCCGGTCCTGCAGGTTAGATTATATTTTGCTAACAATATTCCTAGGTTTATTGTGAACACATAATGTTCAGATTTATGTTATATTGTTTAAAAGAATTGTTTTAAAAGCCGCAAACAAAATTTTTAAGAAACAAAAAAAATCTAAACTTAATCGCTTTTAGTTCTTGCATATCTTTGTTTTTCTGAATTACTGTTATTATTTGCTTTTTCTGTTCTCAAATTTAAATAATAAACAAAATTTTTTTCCGAATTCGCAATCCCACAGGTCAGCTGTAAACTGTGTGTAGGATACCGGAGATTACGAGTGCAGATGCCGCCACAACACTTGTGGCGCACTCTGTGACTCCTGCTGTCCGATGTTTAATCAAAGACGATGGAGACCTGGAAAATATATTTCAGGTAAAATCAGAATTTAATAAAAAAAACGAAAAGTAAAAATTGTACACTCATAATCAGAAAGAACCGGAATCAATTCACAATTAATCAGATGATTTTACAATCTAATTTTACAAATATAATTAATGAAACGATAATAATAAAATAGCCCTAGTTCTTAAACTAACTTGAACTTTTTAGATGGTGGCAATCCCCCTCTCTTGCATTTGGACCTGCATATCATACGGTTACTCTTACTATAAATCTCAAGCAAATATATCAGGTATATCTGTATATAAAGTAGTAATCTCTGTTTGACTTTTGTATGTCCGATCATAACTCGGAACCAGGAAATTAATGTGAAAGTTGCTAATGTTTAAGGAAATGAATGTGAAAGATGCCAATGTTTAGGAAATGAATGTGAAAGATATTAATGTTTAGGAAATTAACGTGAAAGATGTCAATGTTTAGGAAATAAATATTAAAGATTTTAATGTTAAGGAAATGAATGTTATAGATATCAATGTTTAGGAAATGAATATGAAAGATATCAATGTTTAGGAAATGAATGTGAAAGATGCAATGTTAAGGAAATGAATGTTTAAGATATAAATGTTTAGAAATAAATGTGAAAACATCAATGTTTAGAAATGAATGTGAAAGATATCAATGTTGAGGAAATTAATGTGAAAGATGCCAATGTTAAGGAACTGAATGTTCACGATATCAATGTTTAGGAAATGAACGTGAAAGATATCAATGTTTAGGAAATTAACCCTATTCCTGCTGGGGGGGGGGTCAATTTGACCTAAAACCGGGCTTTAATACTGACTGCCTGAGTCCTCAGGCACACTGCCTGAATGACTGCTTTTGCCTGTAGCAAACTAAATCTTTGTTTTGACCCACTTTCACTTGTCAGATTTTGATAAAATTTAGCTTTTTGGAAAGCCTATGACATAAGGAAACGGATTGCACAAGTTTTGCGAAAAAAAAATTGCAAATTTTTTGCAAAAAACCTGTCAAAGGAAATTTGCACATTTTCAGTTTTTCTTGATTAAAAATCAGGTTATTTAAAATTTTGCAAAAGTTTAGGAAATGAATGTGAAAGATGCCAATGTTTAGGAAATGAATGTGACAGATATCAATGTTTAGGTAATGAATGTGAAAGATGCCAATGTTTCGGACACGCTGACGAATGTTATTTTGATCCTTTGGTTGAAGCTGAAAGAGGAAGTCTAAACACAGCAGGTGATAAAATAAAAAAAGGGATTTTAACAATTTTAAAAATTGTTTCGTTTTTCGATCGTTTTCATTAACAAACGTTTCGTTTTCGGAAAAAACTATCGTTTTTAAAATGACCCAAAGAAAAACAATCGTTTTTGAAACTATCGTTTTTGTAAAAAAATTGATAAATATGTTGACGATCGTAATCAAAGGGTGGTCGTTAACGATCGTTAACGAAGGGTTGTAGTTAACGATTGTTAACGAAACGATGAACTTTGAAAAAAAACTTGCATGCAAGTTTATCGAATGTCGTCTTACATGAAGGTAAAAAGTTTCAGGGGCGCTAAACTTCTCGATATTTTCTTTAAAACTAATCAATGATAAGTACTGATGCCCTTCAGGGCGGTTTCCTCTCAGCTCCTCTCTTTGTTAACGATCGTTAACGAAGGGTCTTCATTAACAATTGTTAACAAAGTTAACAAAGGGTCTTCTTTAATGATCGTCAACGAAGGGCTGTCGTTAACGATCGTTAACGAAGGGTCTTTGATAACGAAGGGAAGTTGTTAACAATCGTTAATGACAAGCTTTATCAAAACGATAGTTTTTAAAAACGATAGTTTTTAAAAACGAACTTTTTTAAAACGATCGTTTTTTTCGTTTTCTTGCCATCGTTTTTATAACGAAACGTCGTTCTTTTTAAATAAAAACGTTAACATCCCTAGTTACATAAGGATGCTACTATAGTACTTCATAATTTCTCAAAACTTCTCCAGTTTTCACTTTGCAATAATTGACTGTTTGAAATTTCTGATTGTTAATAAATAGATGTATCTTTTAGTTATTCTGTCACTTGAACACAGCACACTTGAACCTCTACGGTCCTGTCAAATTCTACAGTAAAATCCTTTTTAAATGAAATTGTATTGTAAGCCATCCTCCTCTTAGTTCTTATAAAACGTAGAAAAACAAAATATTAAATATGTTTGATATTTTATCAATAATTGTTTTCAGGAAAGAAATCTGGTGGAGGAATATGTTTGATATTTTATTAATAATTGTGTTCAGGAAAGAAATCTGGTGGAGGAATTTGTTTGGATTGTAGAGATAAAACTACAGGTAAGAGATGCACCACACACCACACCCCCACCCCACCCCACCCCACCCACCACAAAAATGCAAACTGTCAATCTAGTCCTGTCCACTTCATCTTTACCCATAATACCTTGGACCCAAAAAGCTATGTAAAATTGCATAGGCTTTCTAAAAAGCTATTGCCATTGGCTCACTCAAAAATATATCAGCTTGTTTATCAATCACTTTTTCTAACCAGAAGTTAAAAACAAGTCTGTTAAACTCCTAAATTGTAGATTGTTGAAATGTCCAGGAGTAGCTAGGTCTACAAAATTTATAAATGAGTTGGTTTCGTATAAACCAAAGGTCAAAGGCGGCGTTACGTCACTGCAAAGTTAACTCCATCCTGAAAATTGATGCATTATTTGTATAGCTACAATTGGGTGGCATGTGTTAGAAAAGTAAAAAAAAACACAAGAGCTGCAACGCCCCCCCCACACCCGACATCTAGGAATAGTGTCAACTTTGTACTTGCAAGGGGTAAACTGTGAACGGTGTGTGGATGGTTACTACCGACCTAACGGAGTTTCAAGATTTGATCCTAAACCTTGTGTTCCTTGCTCCTGTTCAACTCCAGGTATCTTTTGCATTACAGAGTCCGAATTTTAAGACAGGGTATAGATATGAAAACCAGTTTTGAAACCCAGGTTTCACGTATGGGGTTAGGCAGTTTTGTGGATATCAATATTTTTGTTATGAAATATTATTTTATTCAGTTTCTTCATATTCTCCATTTTTGGTAAAACTTTTAACCCTATAAAGGCTGGGGGGTCTGAATCTATGTATAGCCTTAGAGAATAGTTATAGAGTTGAAATGCATGTTCATCACCCCATTTTTCAATTTCAGCTCATTGAAAAAAAAATTTAACCGAAAACTTTAATAGTTTGGGTGCTAGGGAGGGTTGAAAAAAATGCCAAAAAAAGGGTAAAAAATGCAAAAAAAAAATTTGTTCTGTTTTAAAAAAATATCAACGTATGACACATGTTTCTACATCCATTTTTCAAGGGCTTTTCAAAAATATAATTTTAGATCTGTAGATTTAGTCACAAAACATGTATGATGGACTTTTTACCGCCCTGCACCCTACCTGGCTACCCTATGCATTGGAAAAAAATTATTTTACAAAGAAATCCTTTAAATTTTTATTCATTAAAAGTCACAACATTTCATGTTGATAGTGTCAAAAATAAGAATGCCTGGAGAACAAAACTAGAGGGGGGGGGGTGTGAAACGCCCTGACCCCTCCAGCCTGTTTTGTATTAAATTTATGGAAATTTAAAAAAACTTACAAAAAGGCGTGTATTAAGTATGCATGTATAAAAAAGCCGTTGAGAATAGGTATAGTGTTGAAATGCATGCTCATAGCCCAATTTTTCAAGGCCAGCTCAAAGAACAAAAAAATTAGACCGACAACTTTAATAGTTTGGGTGCTAGGGAGGGTTAAAAAATGACTTAAAAAGGGTCAAAAAAGTGACAAAAATCAAAGTGTGACATATTTTTCTACATGTATTTTTTAAGGGCTTTTTAAAAATATAGTTTTTAAATCTGTAGCTTTAGTCACAAAAAAAGTTATGGGCTATTTAAATTTTTTTCACATACCAGATTTTTTTCCGCCCTGTATCATACCCTATAAATAAAAAAAACTTATAAGTGAGAAATCAACATTTGAGCAATCTTATATGCATTTGTTTTTGTTATAAAGCTAACGGTATTACCAGAACAATAAAAATCATTGATTAAAATAGTTCTGTGTAGTGTTATATTGTGAATAATTTCTGATTTTTATTGAACTATTTAGAATCAACCCTTGAGACAGTCTTGTTTCTAATCCACAGTTTTATTATTTCTACTGTACGTCATTCTTAGAGTTAGGCATAGCTTTTATTTTACTTTATTGAATTGTAGTTTGTTTGGTACATTTATAAAACACCCACAAAGGCTGACAATTTCATGACGATCTTTAAAGAGAGTGTTCGCGAAAAATTAAAGGGAATTTAGGCTTCCGGCGAAAAATAAGCGCTTTAGATCGCTACTAATCTTAGTTCTATCTGTTGTGTCTATAAGGAGAAACGCTTTAAATTCAACTATCTGAAGATTACATTTTTTGTCGTAATAGTCGGTTAACTAATACAATAGATGATTTGCCAAAGAATGTAACTTGTTTTAAGCTGCAGGGAAACTTAAATGTCAAAAGAAAGGCATGAAAGATTCCGTACAGTCGTCCTTTCTTGGAAAATTCTGTAATTTTTTTATCTAATTTGTTTGTGTTTTCTTTACTGCATGTGTATTGTGTACTGTACTGCATGCTATCTACTGTACTGTCTGGGACACTAAAAATTGTATGCACTGTAAAACAGTATTACAAAATATACTACAGATCACAGACTAGATATATACAGATTGCTAATTAGCTTTCACAGCCCAGGCTAACTAGAAATATAGTAGTACCGGCACGACATGGTACATTCCCACAACAGGTTTTTGATTGCCATCGAACGGCCTCTTGCATATAATACCCATTCAGGGGTTTAGTTTTACAATTTTAAAGAAAATTTTTTTTTAAAGTCTTTTATTTCGTTCTCAAAGGATCCTTAAATATCCCTGAAGATATATGTTTTCTAATTGGTCGCGTACTCTAGTTGTTCACAATGGAACTTGTAATCTTCTATCTTTGCTACAGACTTTTTCTAGGATCACAGGGAGTATCAAAATGCTATGCAGACAGTGAATTGTCCCATCAGGTAAAAAAATATATGTTATATATATACATACAATATATATATCCATAGACACAGTGTTTCGTCCTATTAGGACTCATCAGTATGGCTCTATTCATCAGATTTGATTTTGCAGTTGACGGGACTTGAACCATGAATCTTTAGATTATGAATCAAACACGCTAACCACTGCTCCATCAAANAATTTATAATGAAAAAAAAAAATTTAAAATTATATATTTTTTAAATTTTAAAAATATTAAAAGCTTTAGAATTCTTCCTAAATCTTTAACTTTGAATCAGTGGTTCAAATTTAAACAAGCAGTTGATAGTTCAGAGACATTCAGTCCCAGATAAAAGGATTATTTTTAACTAAGTAATTACTTAATTTTGGGGACGGTAATTAAATTATGAATAGTTAGGTGAACCGAGTAGATGTATAACTATACCTACTTAGCTCAACAACTTCTCATTTTTCATTAGTCCAGAACTCTGAATTCATGTTTAATTCTAGGTGTGATGAATGTTCTGTAGGCTATACCAATTATCCAGGAATAGAGATGCATAATTATATATATATAAATATTTATATCTTCCTAAAATAAGTTTAGAACATTTTTATTGTTTATTTAATATATGTATATTTAATTGGGGAACTAGGTACTAGGTAGCACTACGGGAATTTTCTTAGCTTGGTTTAACATTTTTGAAGTTCAACTTTTGTAGAAAGAAACTTAGTCCCCAGGCAAATCTAGGTTCCTGAAAGAAATATGTGCATAACATATTTTTAAAAATATATAATTTATTTATATTTAAATAACAAAAATGTGCAAAAGAAGCCAAAATATTTGAATTATTTTGTACAAATGTGAAGAATATGTATATTTTCAACCCTGCATGAAGTGTACCCAATTGTACATATTTTATTGAAGATGCATAGTATGTATCCCATAGACTGTACCCCTTGTACATGTATATTACCTCTGTATATTTATAAAGTTTACCACATGTACATGTATATTATGTACCTCTGGACATGTATAAAGTGTACGCCTTGTACATGTATATTACCTCTGTATATTTATAAAGTTTACCCCATTTTCATGTTTATTATGTACCTCTGGACATTTATAAAGTGTACCCCATGTACATGTATATTATGTATCCCTTGTACATTCATAAAGTGTACCCCATGTACATGTATATTATGTACCTCTTGTACATGTATAAAGTGTGCCCCATGTTCATGTATATTATGTACCTCTGGACATGTATAAAGTGTACCCCATGTACATGTACATTATGTACCCCTTGTACATGTATAAAGAGTACCCCATGTTCATGTATATTATGTACCTCTGGACTTGTATAAAGTGTACCCCTTGTACATGTATATTACCTCTGTATATTTATAAAGTGTACCCCATGTAAATGTATATTATGTACCTCTGGACATGTATAAAGTGTACCCCTTGTACATGTATATTACCTCTGTATATTTATAAAGTGTACCCCATATTCATGTATAAAGTGTACCCCATGTACATGTATAAAGTGTACCCCCAAATAGATTCTAGTACAATAGATGGCAACGTAGAATTTGTACACTCTCAGTACAGTTGTATTCTGACGTCACAATTGTCCACTCAGTTTTTGTGTCCGACAAAATTAGTAACAATTGTGATATTTTTAGATATAAGTGCTTATCTTACAGTTAAATAATATTAATTTTGTGTGTTCTTTACTTTCTGTTTTTACACTTATTTATTTAATTTTGGAAAACATGTCAACTACTGTGAGAAAATATTGTTTTCCTTGTTATATTTGACACTTGTGACGTCGTGTATAATTTGTTCATATATCTGTTGCCACCTTTTGTGCTTGATAATCTATTAGTGTACCCCATGTTCATGTATAAAGTGTACCCCATGTACATGTATAAACTAAAGAATACTCCTTATGCATGTATATAATTCAACCCTCCCCTGCTGTAAGGAGCATATATGTTTATTATGTATAAAAAGGTACTTTTGTAGCAAATACCTACTCCATAACAATTTACTCGAGACGTATCTATCCAGGTCTACTCATTACCAAGATCAACCAGGACTAACTGTTTGATTCTAATCAAATGCCACACAGGCAATATCTCAACCAGACTTAACTCCCAGGTTCTAAATGACACACAGGCCAACCTTGATCCTTGTTTTTACCTTAACCTTTTTGTCCTCAGTGTTCCCAGTAAAACTTTTATAAATTTCTATATACCCCTGTACAAATATATCTTATATTTATATTATGTACCTCTGAACAGAGTGTACCCCCTGTACAATATATCCTATATTTATATTATGTACCTCTGAACAGAGTGTACCCCCTGTACAATATATCCTATATTTATATTATGTATCTCTGAACAGAGTGTACCCCCTGCCCCTGCAGTTTAGCTGGAACGCATGGAGAACAGTGCACTGGCAACTGTAAATGCAAAAAGCATGCCACAGGTACCAAAACATATTATTAGAATTTGATTTACTGAAATGTTCTTGTTTTCATTTAAAAATCGTTTTAAAACCAAGGAAAAGAAATATAAGCAAGCTTGTATATTAAAATCCTAGACAAAGGAGATTGGTGGAAATGTACAGTACCGTCTTCGAAAGTTCGAAGACGACTTTCGATTACAATTTCTTTGTCTACCAAGCTTTCAATCAGCTTTGATACATATAGACGTGGAAACAAAGAGAAGCTGCAAATTAATTGCTTCTCTTTGTTTATTTGTAAACTTGTATTTTGTAGAAAAAAAGCTTAATAGAAATCAAAACTGAAAAGGAAAAATCGTATTCGTTGTTCGAATATAAGCACCGACCACTTTAGTTTTTGTCAAACAGAGTTGGAATTATTTTATACAAATTCATGCGATTTTTATTTTGTGAATTTTGGACCACCTGCAATTATACCAAATGGCCCGAAAAATCAACAGAAGACCTGTCCGTCTCATACGATTTGTATTATCCATTACCCCCAAACGATGCGTAGCAATCAGGAACTAAACACTTGCCACAAACTCTAACTCTCTAATCTCAGTATTTTTAACTATTTGACTTTACACAAATCATAATTGATAGGTTTAAATATCAAATGTATACAACAAGGGATGGGCATTGGTTTAAGAAAAACGATAACTTTTCATTTTTTCTTTTATTATAGTTCCAAACTTGCGAACCTTCGTTTTCAGTAAAAGCAGAAACTAAAAAACTTTAAATTTTAAACTTTTGAAAAAAATATGAGATTTAATGGAAAAACTATGTTTTTTAATCCTCAAGTATACGCCGGTTTAATATATACTGAAAAAGAACCAGATTAGAAAACCGTAGAATGTGAAGACGACGATAAAGTAATACTGAAGTGCATTTCATGTTATTACAAAGCAAAGCCTTACTTGTGAGTTTTAAAATCAATTTTAAAGCATATAGGCCTCTGTCAATATTATTAGTTTCAAGTGACCTTTCTATGATAGAGTGAGATTTTAAATTCACAATGGTACCCTGAACAAGTTTTTTTGTACATGAACAAGTATGATTGTTTTCCAGTATAAAAGTGACCTGCGTCAGGAAGGTGCTATGGAAACGCCTCATTAACAGATTAAACACTTGTCAAGCTCGCAAACGCGACGTTATCTACCTTATTAATGATTAAGGTTTCAAGTGATTCTGGTATCAGGTATGACCCTTTGTAAATGGCGGGTTACTGAAAATAACGGGGACATGGAAACAGATCAAAGATTATTTTTGTGGAATTTCTGTTTTTTTTTAGAAATTCGAGGAAATCCCTCAAAAGTTCAAAATTGAGGGATTTCCGAATATTTTGTATCCGTTTCCCAATATTTTTAGTTGAATGGTTTCCATTTTTTTTTGTTCAATTTCCTCATATTTTTAGGTCCGTTTTTGCTTTTTTCACAAACTTTAAAAATCTCAATTTGTTGCTCGGTTTTTTCAAATTTTAGGTTCGTTTCCTCATATTTTTTATCCGTTTCCGGTTTTTTTTTAAAACTTTAAAAATCTCAATTTCAAAAAACGGAAACAGATCAATTTAAAAGTTTTTGAAAAAAGAGGTGACGGATCAAAAAAAAATGAGGAAACGTACCAAAAATATTGGAAATCCCCTCAAAAATATTATTGGGAAATCCTTCGAAAATATTTAATTAAAATAAAGCGGAAATGGATACACAATTTTGGTAAATTGATTAAAAAATCAAAATTTGAACTTAAAGGGATTTCCGAAAAATTTTAAGAAATCGCGGAAATGCATCAAAACATGAGTAATTTGATCGGTTTCCGCTTATTGAGGCGTTTCCTGCATGTCACTCAAAAAACAATTGACTGTCTCTTTAATTTATAAAAAAAAAAATAGAAAAATTCAGATAAAATATTCTTTTTTAGAAAAATAAGAAAAATATCAAATTGTCCTTATAATTAATTGTAGGCCGGCGATGTGACCGTTGTAAACCTGGCTTCTTTGCTCTACAGAGCGCTAACCCTGAAGGGTGTACAGAATGTTTCTGCTACGGTGTTACTTCGTCCTGTGATTCAGCTGATTATGGAGTAGAGATTATTGATCATCAGTCAGGATGGATGGTAAATATAAACCCTTAAATAGATCGAGACGACTGACTCAAGTTTGTGCATTGTGCAGTGAACATCCAAATCTCTTTTTAAAAGTTGATGTTCAAGATACTGAGCTGAAAACTTTAGGATATTGCAGTTTACATTAAGATGAATGCATTTATTAATCTCAAGATTTATTTAATCATTAGTTTGAATCCAGATAAGTAATTAAAATTCAACCGATCAAGGTGGAGCCATTTGATGGTGTTATTTAGTTAAGGTGTTTCTTCTTTTTTTGAGGCGTTTATATTCTTCAAAAATACTTTTAAAACTTTATCTAGTTGAGGTGTTTCTTCTTTCTTTTGATGCATTTCCATTTTTCAAACAAAGTTAGAAAACTACATTTAGTTGGCGTTTCTCATATTATGTAAAAAAAAATTATTTTGAACAATTTTTTGGAGAAACTAAAACGAAAATTTTATAAGCGGAACACCTCTAAAATGCCTTTAAAATTAGCGGAAACGCCTAAACTAAATAAAGTTTTTAAACATTTTTCAAAAAAAGAGGAAACACCTCAACCAAATAAAGTTTTTAAAGTTTTTTTTTAAATGGAAATGCCTCAAAAGTATACGGAAATGCCTCAAAAAAGGCAAATAGTTACTGTTTGATCAAAATTAGACCGATAACTTTGATAGTTCGGATGCAAAGAAGGGTTGAAAAAAATACCAAAAAGGGTAAAAAAAAATGTTTAATACAAATGTCAAAGTGTGAAACATGTTTCTAAATCCATTTTTCGAGGGCTTTACAAAAATATAGTTTTTAGATCTGTAGCTTAATTTACAAAAAAGTTATTGGCGATTTCAGATTTTTTTACTCAGACGGATTTTACAAAATATCGTTTCAAATTTCTATTCATTAAAAGTACCAAAATTTCAAAATCACGGCCTGTTTAGGGTTAAACGGACTGTTAACGTAAGTTCGAGTGATCCTCCATTGACAGAGTAGCATGTCCAATTCACCACAGTACCCTCAGAACATTTGTTCGATCAAGAATGAGTCCAGTTTTGAAAACATATTACTTTAATGGGTCCCGTTGTGAACCAGACATTCCCAAGTTTTGAAATTAGAACTTCAGTCTCTTTAACTTTTTCTGTACGTCAGACGATAGAACCCACCAAACTGTGAAATAAGTAGACGAAATTTAATCAATGTTTTGTATAGTCTTTTTTATTTTATTTACTCTAGGTTACAGATTTAAGTGGAAGTTTACAAATTCCTCCGTATTGGAGTAGTGTCACTAGTGGTTTAACTATAGCTCAGGTAAAAACTTTTAATGATTGATTGAGAAATTTAATTACTTCTTATTTAAGAATCAATTTAAAAAATGCTTACGTCATTCAATTAAAGGTTATTTGAATATTTCTGAGGCATACGAGTATAACAAAAATAAATATTTCAATATTCTTAGAAATATAATTTTTGTTAATCAATTAAGATTATTTTGCTTTACAGGAAGATATTGGATTAGATGCATACTATTGGCAGGCGCCT